CATTTATCTAAACAATTATATTTTTTCTTCTATTTCTGTATATAGTACATTATTAAATTTTTCTATTTTTTTTATTATATTAGTTTTATATTACATCCCTACTGTGTTATTCCTATGTATGTCTGCACTATCATGTATGTCTGCACTATGTTTGTACTTTCTTCTACACTGGAAGCTCCTGTCGTCAAGTCAAATTCCTTGTGTGTGTAAACATACTTGGTAATAAAGCTCTTCTGATTCTGATTCTGATTTTATTATTTCATTTGATAGATTTAGTTTAATGTGGCAAGACACGTCAATGTTTAATGATGATCAAATCTTCTTGTTTAGACAAGAAAAAAATGAACAAGCAAATCACAAATTCACCCCTTGCATTCCTCACATGATTACACATCTGGTGTTGGATGGTGGTAGTTGACTGTCCATATACTGGGACCTTGACCATTTCTATTTCTTAACCATAGATAGATTTTTTTTTCTGATTAGATGACATTTGCTGTAGTTTTCGTGATGGTTGTGGAGACTGAGGCCTTCAGAAAGTCAGTATTTATCTTCTGGATTACAGGTCTGACTGCTGAGAGGGAATGAATGGATCCTATGTGTTGTTTCTCTTTGTGTTGGCATAGCAGCAAATGCAGTATTTAGTAATAAGTCTTATGCAGTTCTGAACTGTTTTAATGTGTCTGCATTTACAATGTAAACACTGACTGATGCAAACAGTGATTTGGGGTGGAGTTCGGTGTTTGAAACATCTACAGGGCAGATGCCAAATGTACATATTCAGATGATGTCATTAAGTGAGACTTACACCTTCAGTAATTCTAAGGCTTGTGTTCTTGTTCTCATTTCAGTCTGGACTGCCTTGATCTTACCATGTGGTGAGTGAGCAACAAAACAGTTGTTTGGTCACAGTTTCCCAATGTTTTTTCATACTGCATAAACCCAGATTAATATAAAATGTAATATATATGCATGTCTTTTAGCCTGGGCCCAAAACAGCATGCCAAGTGTGGTTGTGGAGGCAAGGAACATTACTGTTCCAGCCGGGTCTGATGTTCTACTGCCGTGTCATAACCAGCGGATGGTTTGGAGACAGGATCGCCTGCGGGACCGTCAGCGCGTCGTGCACTGGGACCTGATCCGGAACCAACCCGATTATACTGTGGAGCGCATTTTAGATATGTTCTCAGGGGGAAGAGAGCGCTTGTACAACGACTACAACAAGGGCCGAATTACTATTTCAAAAGACGCCTTCAGCGATGGAAATTTCTCACTAGTTATTAATAGTAGGTACATCCTTTTAGACCATGTCCATGTCACTCTTTTGATTCTTTTTCTCGTGATATTTAATACCTGCCATTCTTCTGTTGCTGTTTTGTTTGCGCAGATGTGGACGTGAATGATAAAGGTATCTATACCTGCAACCTACATCACCACTATTGCAAGGTCCACCAGTCCATTCAAATCCAGCTCAACGTCACTAAATCACGTAAGAGAATAAGCTTCACATCTATTGTTTGTTTAAAAACTGAAAAACACAAGAAAGGAAGCCTTTTTCCACCTCAGAATTAAAAATGCTTGCAACTATACATTTCACAACTGTGACTTTATTTTACGCATTTGAGAATGTTTATTTCTCAGTCATGACAAAATAAGCTATATGAAACAAATCCTAGTGTAAGAATTATTATTATTTTTTTTTTTACTAATTTTAAATCTAGCTATGACCAAGTTGTTCTTACAAGGTGTCTTTTAGGTCATACAAGATTTACACATGGATATTTATTAAAAGGTGAAGAACCACCATCATGCCTTACTTGCCAAACTAAAATGACTGTGAAGCATATTTTATTGGATTGTACTGTTTTTAATGTAAATAGACAACGGTTTTATTCAGAGGTGTGTTTAACTGATTTATTTAAAAATGTATCACCTGAATGTATTTTAGAATTTTTGTCTAGTGTAGATCTGAAATGTCTTTTATAACCTTTTGTTAATTGTATACCTTGTATAATTTATTCAGAGATTGGCATGAAAATAGCCTTGATGCTGGCATGGCGTTAAAAAGTGAATAAATAAATTCTCAGTCACTGACTTTATATCTAAAAACTGTGACTTTATATCTTGGAATGTGCCTTTTTATTTCACAAAATGACTTTCTATTTCTATTTCTATTATGACTTTTTATTTTGCAATAGTACTTTTTATCGCACAATAAGACTTTATATCTCACAATTTTGACTTTTTATCATGCAATTTGTCTTTATATTTCACAATTATGAATATTTTATCTGGCAATATGACTTTTTTCTCATAATTGTGACTTTTTATCTCGCATAGTGTCTTTATGTCTAACAATGTGACTCTTTATCTCACAATGTGGCTTTATTTAATTTTTTTAAAAACTTTTTAATGAGCTTCTGTACTTCCAGGCTTCCATAGTTTTAGGCATGTTTACGTTAAACTGAAGTGTGTCATTTCTGTGCTTATAATCCAACCAAGTTGAGCATAAAAAATTATGATTTTCAAATGTAATCTTTTTTAATAATATGTTTAATTTAACACTATATGAATGAAACATTATTATTATTATTATTTCAAAAAATGTCAATCTCTGCAGCTCGAAAGGAAAAACGTGTCTGGGATGGTGATAAATCCATTTTTGTGGTTCTGGTGGGGAAGAGTGTGGTGCTTCCCTGTGTGAACCGCAGGCAATTGTGGACAGACAGTCAGAGGGACGAGGGCCAGCAGCAGGTGGTCCGCTGGGACTGGCAGGCACCTGGGGTCACCCGTGACCGAGCAGACCACCTCATCGATATGTATGCCTCTGGAGAAAATCAGCAATACGGGCCGTTCTTCCTCCGGAATAAGATGAACATCTCAAACGATGCCTTCTCCATGGGGGATTTCTCCCTGAGCGTCCACAACATTCAGCCCTCTGATAAAGGCCTGTATTCCTGCCATCTTCACCATCACTACTGTGGCCTACATGAAAGACGAATCTTTAGGGTGATCGTCAGCCCTTCTGTCCAGCCTTTGCCTCCAATGCGTGCCTCTACTGATGCACCAAAAACTCATTCTTCTTATCCTGTCCCACCTGCTGATGACCCAAGTAAGAGAATCTTTGGGGGGGGGGGATCCAACACAAGGCTATTATATGGCTTTGGAAGACTTGGAATATAGTGCAGAAGTTGAATGGATCACTTTTATGGTGCTCTTTTTCTTTGAAGTCTTTATGACCAGAAGTTTTATGGCAGGATCTGTCAAATGATTCTTCAAAAAAATCTGCATCTTTTCCTTTTTTGTTGCATGACAGACAAGACTTAAAGAAAAATATTTTTTTTTGCAAAACGGTGCCCTTTTCTTTTTCCTAGCTTTTAAACATATATTTCTGTTTTCCTAATCAGCTCCTTTGCTCCTCTTTAATGTAAATGTAGTTCTCAGACAATATTCCTCCCACAAACCCTTTTTCTCTCCGTTTACTTTTCTGCTCCGTCTTCTCCATTATGCAGTGGGAATTTTACAGTATTCTTTCCATCTCTCTCTTTGTTTTTTCTTTTTTGAGCTGTCTAAAATGCCTTTGTCTTTTGCCTTTGACTCACTCCATTCATTTTGGCTTTGTCATTGCCTGTGTTACAAAACACTTGTAAAGATGAGTTTGTACGAGTGAATGTTTTCAACAGAAATGTAGTGAATAGGTCTTAAAGGAGGTGGGGGAGATTTTATTGGAAGAGTGCTTCATATTTCCCCTGCTTAGCAATGGCTGAGCTCACTTTATAAACTATAACAGCCACAGAAAAGGTCACAGCAACGTCTTGCTTTCTTCAGGTGGTTTGCAGATTAGACCATCATTGTTCAGACAATATTCCCCATCTTGCATTGGCAATGGGCTGGTTTTTGACATGAAAAGCCACATCTGTACAACATCTGGCCCGCTGTAACATGAAAGCTCAAAGCGGGAATGGTCTGTGTTAGATTCACATCCTCACATGTCTGTAAACATTTAGCCCCACTCTACAAGAAGTGGTGTCAGTCAGCTATCCTATAGATTTAGTGCATTGTCTGAATGTGACCTTGTAATTTTTAAATGGGAAGAAAACAAAAATATTTATAAATATTTAATTTTAATCATTTTTTAAATTTATTAATTTTTCATTTTTTTTATTTAATATATTTACATAATATTTATTTTAAATAGTTAATTTTTTTTCAAAATTAAATATTGCTATTTTTTTAAAGGATATTAAATAAATTTTTTTTTTAACCTTCTTGTTCAAATTTTAACACTATCTAGAGATTAATGCACATTCAACAATTTAACTTGGATGAGTTAATTCTTCCCTATTTTTTTCTCTCCGGCTGTCCTCTAAACAATAAAAAAAAATGGCATTATAAATAATACACACAATTTTTATATGTGTTGTATTCCAATACAATTTGCGTTGTGAAATGTTAAACACTTCAGTATTATACAAATATGAACACTTACCATGTGCAACTCATTTGATTCTTCATTGTTCATTGCAATGATGAGACATAATGACTCATAAAGTAATCATAATGTCTGTTAGTTTTAGGATGAAGAAGTCATTTTTTGTGTTGTTAAGCCAAGAACAAGATTTACAATACTGTAAAACACACAAACAGCAGCATTCAGTGAGTTTGTTTGGTCATATAAACACTACTGACATGCGATCCCTGAAGATTTAGTTCAAGTTCAAGTTCATCTTTGCTTTATTGTCAATTCTTCCACATGTACAGCACATACACACAGAATATTGAAATTGCGTTACTCTCAGACCCTTGGGTGCATACAGATAACATAAATACAGATTAAATACAAAATACAACTATACAAATATACAAATAAGGTAAAATGTAAAAATATATATATAAAGCACAAGGCATATGGCAGATAGAGTGCAAACCAGTAAAGTAAACAACAGTGCAGATATAGTGATTGTAGTGCAAAAAAATGATTTGTAATTTAGCAGATTAAATCTAAATTCTCCCTGTTATTGTGGGGCACTAAATAAGTGGAAAATGTCTCCAGACAGACTGACCATGAAGTGGTCTCTCCGCCTGCACTATCGCTTCCCGTTCTTGTGGTTTGTGTTTTTTTCTCCATTGCTGCGGCATGACATCATGTCTGGAACTCATTACGCCTGTTTTGGCCATTCTTACATGAAACCTTGTCCCTCTCCCCTCTCGCCTGCCAGGCCTGGGTGAAATGGGAAAAACAAACTAGCAATCAGTGCTTTTCGGCTTTCTTTCTTGCCTGCCTTTTAGTACAGCATAAAGTAGTTAAATGTTTTAAAATCAGATATTTAAGAGTTCTCATTCATCTGGTCTTCTCATGTTTTCTTTGCAGATACAAACATGGTCGAAGCGCCCCACGTCCTCAATGTAATTCTGCCTGAGAATCAAACTCACCTCTTGCACCAAGTGGGCTACATCCTGGCAATCTTCCTGCTGCTTCTGTTAATGCTCATTGGCATCATTATGACCACGAGGCACTGCAGAAAAAAAAGTAGGATCATGTGGATGATTGGTGAACACATTTAAATATATAATTAGTACCTTTGAGATTATAGGCTTGAATCTTACTGAATTCTCTTTTGACATTTCATATTATAGACCTATCTGTTTCAGGGCCTGAGTTTGAGGTTCGATGGTCTGAACGGTAAGGATTTAAATGGACTGATAAAGTTATCCAGTTTTGTCAATTCAGCTTCACAGTATCTTATTCAGTGTTTTTGAGTCCGCAATAATCATTTTACACTCGCTAATACATAAAAAGCAGAACTTTTGCTTTACCTGGCAGGGGTCAAGGGACATCCATTGAGCTCGATGCCACAGAACTGCAACCCTACAATCAGGAGGACTTGCGACTGGGTAAGTGCAACCACATTTTCCATGATTTCTCTTAAAGCTGAAGTAGGTCATTTAAAAATCAAGACTTTATGAAAATAACCAGAAAAGATTGTAGATGCTGTAACTAGTGCTCTGGAAAGTCTAAAGAAACAATTTTTATTTCCTCCAGTATTCACAAGAACAAGACTCTTGGTTTAAATTACCACAGGATTGTTTTTTTTTTTTAATTGGTTGGTTATTGTTTTTTAGCAAGGAATTTTCAGTGAAATATTTTTTTTTTGCTGAATATCTCTCATCTGATGTATATTAATAGATGGTGATTTACCATAATTTTTTTATGTTTTCATATTTATATCAGCATATATTGAAGAAATCCTTGTATTTTTATTTAGACTACAAGAACAACATAATGAAAGAAAGGGCAGCGGCAAACAACTATCCCTCTCCAAAAGTTATTGATCTAAACAGAGGTAATGTGGTCTCAATTAGTGAATCTCGTTCTGGACAACCAGATGCATTGTGATGTATTTACACACTCTTCCTCTGTCTTCCTCTCTCTCAACTGAAGAAATGGAGAGAATGTCATGGATGTGATTCATAGTGAGTTGCTGGCTGGTCCAGAGCGTGCTGAATGAGAAGGGATTCAAGGACTTTACATTTACATTGAGAAAAGGAATGGAATTACTGTCTTTCTGCAGCATAATTACTGCTTACATGATCTTATAATACTCAAATTTTATTGATATTGGTAAGTCAATTGAATTGATATGTTTTTCTTATCATAATCACAGTGTACCGTAATGGTAATCTATTGAATTCAAGTTAAACATATGTAAAATGTGGGAAAGCAATTTGCTTAGTATAGAAAATTATGTGGGAGAGCAATTTGCTGAATTCAGCATTTGGTACTCTTCTGTGTTAAATTTCTACATTTAAAAAGTTAAATAGCTCAAATTGTGTGTGGTAGAAACCACTGTAAATGTCTGAATCTGAATGGAAATTTCTTATAAAACTCAGGAAGCAAACAAATAGCTGTGGCTTCAGGTCTACATAATAAAAGATGGTACACAAGTGAACCTCAAAGGCAATAATTAAATGTGCTGTTTTTGTTATTCTGATGTATGTGTATCTATATGTTACTTCTCGTATAATTTTGAGCCCTGTTGACCCGGACTTCTTTGGTCCATTGTCTTTTTACAGTATTTGTTTTACAGCATTATGTAGATGGTACAGTTGTAGCTTATTTGCTTTTGCGATATGAGCAAGTCCCATTGATCTTTTTCCATCATCATTTTTTCAGCAATTTCCTTGGTCAGTGATGTTCATTTACATTATTATTACGTTATGAAGCATTTATGCAGTAGTTTTTATTTGATCTGGAGTGTACTTTTATCTTTAAAATGGCAATAAATGTTCATGTTGGTATAGAGGACCAATGTACAAACATAATAAAGTTGATTCTGAAATATTTCATTCATTCTTAAGATTCATTCTTTCCATATGTAAGGCATTGTAGCTCTATTGTCTACATTCTTTACAAATGTTGTCTACAAATGTTGAGCCCCACTGTTACCAGATTCTGATCGCAGTGTCTTAATTGATATCATACGTCCCACAGGAATGGGGAACTAGATGTGCCGGCGTGCAATATTTAAAACAAGCTATGTTTTGTACATTTTGTAGTAAAACAATTTGTTTTACAATAAGTTATGTAACTTATGCAACATGTAAAATAAAAATACAAAATTATTTCTAATAACAATAATCTAGAAATCCAGTATTTTATGCCATTGGCCAAAATGTTTGCTGTAACCTGAAACTGTGGAGCAATAAATAATTTGACTGCATTAGGAAGTTCATCCAGTTATTTACTCTAAATGTTGAGCAGGGCATTTCAAGAGACAAATTGGTACTTTAAGTACAAACTGAGCAAAGAAAAAGCATGTCCTTTGCAAAAAGTTGTTTTGATTGACTACCAAATCCATGAGCCAGTGGAATCCACTCCAATAAGTTTAATAAATAAAGGAAGCTCACTTTAATTGTCGTGTGCAGTGAGGCAGAGTGTGAAATGTAGAATGTGAGCACTGAGTTTAATTGAGTCTGATTGGGGCTTGGAGTTTGTGTTACTTTTGGTTGGCCTGTACCTGTTTCCTAAACAATTTTCAAATAACGTAAGAAATACAGGAAGTATAGAGAAGAACAGAGCTGCCCCCTGCTGTTAGAAAATATATTATAACACACAATGTCTGTACCTGGTGCTCATGCTTGCTTGCACAACTTCAGAACATCTATCTATCTATCTATCTATCTATAAATTTATGAAATGTTTATAATAGTTAAACATTTAGTATTTTTCATTCATTTTATTGTCCATCTATGTTCTATTCAAATACAGTATTGAAAAACTGATTTGTAGAATTTTGCAATATAACAATACAATTAAATATAAAAGTTAATGTTATTTGTAAAAAAAAGATTGTTAATTTATTTTGGGAATGTTCTAAAATACATGGTTGTTGTTAAGCTGATGTGAGGATGTGTTCCTCATTGGATTGTGAGACAAATCTAATATGTTTGATTTAATTATTATAATTCCTTGTTATTATATCCATAAAGGCAAATGGAATGGAAAAATGTATATGTTTAAACCGTTTAAAAACTGACATAAAAAATATATCTAAAAGTAAAACCCTGAAAGCAATACAAAGAATGCAACTGTTTAATCTGCATGTTGTACATACAACAATTGCATAGTTCTGTATATTTTTCTATATATCTCTGACATGTTTGATTATATATTCTCGTTTGGATAATTTGTTTTGTTCTAAACAAACAAACAAACAAATAACAATAAAATTAGATTTGTGATATATCTGTGATATGTAAATCTATAACATCAATGACAGTAGTTCTCCGTTTTGTCAATTTACAGACAACAATTGTATGCCATGTTTTTATGTTTGCGAGTATTTTTTTATTTTATTTTATTTTTTAAATGTAAACTTTTGAAATCTAATGTTTGAAACCCCTTAATAAATAAACAGGCTTAAATACATAAAACCCCTTAAAATTTGCAAAGGTTTATCTTGCAAGGACATGAAGTTTTAGTCTTTGCAACTTCAGGGATCTTATCTATGCACAACACTCCAACGAGAAAGGAAAACTTGAAATCGCATCATATGACCCTTTTAACAGAGTTGGCTTAGCGGTTCAGTCGAGTGACTGTCACGGGCTGTGTCTACCGCTAGAGGGCAGCCTACCTCTATGAGAAACCTGTAATGGTAATATATCCTGAACTCCAGCTCGTAGGGATGTGAACCGTCCCTTCCTGTTTTACTGGCGATCAGAGAGAAACATTGACGCCGTGATAGAGACGCGCAAGCTCCGGTTATGTCTGGAACCGCTCGCGCCGTCCAAGACCAGGATTTTTGTTTGCCTACGTGAAACCGGCAACCAGCAATGTCGCCTTATAGCGCATATATGACACTTGACGGGTTATAGTCTACAAATATATTTTTAATCGCGCTGCTGCAACCCTTGCTCCTTCTTCTGTCAATGATTGTCCTACCCATATAAGCCTACTCATGGCGGAGACCAAAATTATATACCATATCGACGAAGAAGAAACCCCTTATTTAGTGAAACTGACGGTTTCTCCGGAAAAAGTCACTTTGGCGGATTTTAAAAATGTCCTCAACAACCGTCCGGTCAACAGTTATAAATTCTTTTTCAAATCTATGGATCAGGATTTCGGGTAAGTATGGAGAAATATGATTTGCTTATATTGTAGAGTGGTTTAGTAAAAAAAAAAAACCCACGATCGACTCACATGCCTTATAGACGCAGTCAAACCTGGAAAGCGTTTAGAACGTTTGCTTGTTCGTTTGTTGTGACGTTGCTACATTGTTACATTGTTGCTGCTGGCACCTGCTTTGAACCCGTGTTCTAAAGTGCGTGTGCTCGACTCAGAACCCTCCACCACTGTGGCAAGCCGCTTTAACATTTATGTTTTCCTTTAAAGTGAAAGACGTGAGTATCAAATTATCCTAATTACCAGTTCAGAGCACATGAATAACCAAGAGTTCTAGATGTTAAACGAGTTGCCGAGTTTTCACCGTGGAAGGGGCGTGTCGATTGAAACATGGCTGAAAAACTGATCTATATTATATCTATTATATATTATATATTGTTAGACAGGAGTTTACTGGATTGAAATGATGTGATTGCAAAAACCTGCATCTTTTAAGCTATTGTTTTTGTTATAATGTACTGATTCAAATTAGTAATCAATTATTAATTATTATTCTACCTGACTCTGAGTGTTTCTCAGGTGCACTTGAAGGCCTTACTAACTACTAGTCTTTACATTGTTACATTTAATTACTAGTAAGTAATCCAGTACTGGCTAGTATCCCTTCAATTTCAAGTTTAATTTTAATTGGATATTTATTGGACTAGTACTAATTCCAGTAGTTACTAGTATTTATTACATCACTCTCTAGTGATTTTTCAGTACATACGGCTATTTATTTTTTTTAACTTACATTTTCCCTAACAGTGACTTTATTGTGAACTTATTTCTTTTTTCCCCCCTCCATAACAGTTCAAACAGTTACTGGTTTCTATTACTGTCTGAACCGCAGTTACCCCCCCCCCCAAAAAAAACCCTAAAAATGTTATTGCATTTTTTACCAGCAACAATAGAAGTTACTTCAGTATTAAGATATTCACAATAAAGTGACTAGTAGCAATCATACTGAATCTGAAGAAACTCTAAAGTACTGTGCCCGGTTGCATAAAGCACCTTAAGTTTTTCCCTTAAGTATGAGACTTAATGTGTGATTTCCCCTTACCCAAGGGATTGACTTAAGGGTGTTGCATATATTCCCTTAAGTACTTCCCTTAGCAAAGGGAAACTGTTAAGTGTTTCACGACAGCGACCCAGGTTTTGCCATTAAAAAATCAACTGCTGCCATGGTCACGTTATTTGTTAATGCAGATAGCGGTGTACGTTTTCACAGAAAACAATATAACATGGATAAGGAAAACAGAAAAGAAAACCAAATATTTAAGAGAAGGACCAGACGAGACGGAAACCCAAATTGATAATTCACTCAAAACTGAAAATTCTGAAAAATAATTTACTCATCCTCATGTCAGTTCAAACCCATAAGACTTTTATTCATCTTTGGACAACAAATAAAGATCTCTCATCATTTCTGTCTATGTAGAGGTTTTCTAGTGTGAATAAATATATATTTAAATGCAAAGAGACAAGATAGTCTATGCATGACATTTTATTCGTATCCAAAACGATGTGAACATTAAATAATAATAATAATTCATTACATTTATATAGCACTTTTTTAGGCACTCATTGTCAAGGGGTATCTCCTCATCCACCACCAGTGTGCAGCATCCACCTGGATGATGCGACGGCAGCCATATTGCGCCAGAACGCCCACCACACACCAGCTTATTGGTGGAGAGGAGACAGAGTGATGAAGCCAATCAGCAGATATGGGGATTGTTAGTAGGCTATGATGATCAGTGGCCAATGGGCGAGTTTGGCCAGGATGCCGAGGTCACACCTCTACTCTTTTCGAAAGACATCCTGGGATTTATAATGACCACAGAGAGTCAGGACCTCGATTTAACATCTCATCCAAAGGACGGTGCTTGTTGACAGTATAGTGTCCCCATCACTATACTGGGGCGTTAGGACCCACACAGACCACAGGGTGAGCACCCCCTGCTGGCCTCCCTAGCACCTCTTTCAGCAGCAACCTAGTTTTCCCAGGAGGTCTCCCATCTAGGTACTGACCAGGCTCAGCCCTGCTTAGCTTCAGTGGGTATCCAGTCTTGGGCTGCAGGGTGGTATGGCTGCCGCTAAATTAAAGCGCTAAACTCTCATGCAGTGTATGTTTCATTCATACTCGAAGCCGGAGGGCGCTCTCGCGCAGAAAGTCCAAACCGGATTTATAGAAGTAGCCTATTTTATAAGCTGAATAAAAAACAGAAACGTAAACACAATAAACTCACGATTGCAGCAATATATGGTTTATGTGTGTTTTTCAAGTCATCTTCAGGTAATATGCAGGATAATACAGGAATAAAATATTATGGAATATAAATTTGCTCTCGAATGTGACGCACTCACGTTTGAGCTAATTATGTGCTGTATGTAATTTGATCAGTGTTTATATGTGAATAAATGCGTAAATTAAAATCTGTTTAACATATAAAGCGGCCGATCATGACTTGTAAAAGACTTTTGTGTGACACTTAAGGTGACATTTTCCAACCCTTATGTTATCCTTAGGAAAATGACAGTTAAGGGGCTTTATGCAACACTTAATGGTTTTTAAGGGATACTTAAGAGAAATTCTAAGGGTTTATGACGTTTCACCTAAAGACTTTCAGCAGCAACCTAGTTTTCCCAGGAGGTCTCCCATCTAGGTACTGACCAGGCTCAGCCCTGCTTAGCTTCAGTGGGTATCCAGTCTTGGGCTGCAGGGTGGTATGGCTGCCGCTAAATTAAAGCGCTAAACTCTCATGCAGTGTATGTTTCATTCATACTCGAAGCCGGAGGGCGCTCTCGCGCAGAAAGTCCAAACCGGATTTATAGAAGTAGCCTATTTTATAAGCTGAATAAAAAACAGAAACGTAAACACAATAAACTCACGATTGCAGCAATATATGGTTTATGTGTGTTTTTCAAGTCATCTTCAGGTAATATGCAGGATAATACAGGAATAAAATATTATGGAATATAAATTTGCTCTCGAATGTGACGCACTCACGTTTGAGCTAATTATGTGCTGTATGTAATTTGATCAGTGTTTATATGTGAATAAATGCGTAAATTAAAATCTGTTTAACATATAAAGCGGCCGATCATGACTTGTAAAAGACTTTTGTGTGACACTTAAGGTGACATTTTCCAACCCTTATGTTATCCTTAGGAAAATGACAGTTAAGGGGCTTTATGCAACACTTAATGGTTTTTAAGGGATACTTAAGAGAAATTCTAAGGGTTTATGACGTTTCACCTAAAGAAACCCTTAAGTAACATTTAAGGGATATTTTATGCAACACCCTTAAATGTAAGGGAAACTTAAGGGCGATCTTAAGAGAAAATTACACTTAAGGTGCTTTATGCAACCGGACCCTGGTGACTAAGGGTGCTTTCACACCTGTAGATCGATTGCTTTGTTCCGAAACAGGGATTAAAAATTATTATAATGTTGCTTTTTATTCTTGGTGCGGTTCGCTTTCACACGGCAAAGTTTCTAAATGGACCAAATTTGTTAATACAAGTCAAGCGAGTAAACTGTTCTCTCATTGGTCAAAGTTCCACAGTTTATTTTCCAGGATTCCACTTAGCTGTCACGGCTGTCATCTGTCAGGATGGAATGACAACAGCTTTGTGGGGTTATTGTTGGTATTTTTGTAGCTGTTATATTAATTAATCATTTTGAGCAGGATTGAGTCCAGGATTCATCAGGAATACATTTTTAAAATGCACCTAATAAGACGGCATTATAAAAAGAAAAAGTGCACTTTGATTTTGAATGGCGAAGATGTGCTCACCCACAAACATTCACAGGTTAATTTTGAAGTATTAGCAAAACAACAAAGCTAAAAAACAACAACAACATATGCCCAAACGAACCGAGCTAAAGGGGGGGGGGATGCGCCAGGTTCCGAAACAACGGGCCAGGTGTAAAAGCACCCTAATTGAATAGGTTGAATTACAGAATTACACAAATGAAGTAGGTACTAGTAGTTATTAGTAAAATTGAGAAAGATACCAGTCACTGTTTGATTACTTAAAATAATTACTAGTAACATAATAAGTACTAATTAGTTTTAATGAAAAATGTTAAATGGCTTGCCACAGCACCACACATGCACTGCAACAGAGCTAATTCTGTCAACTCCAGTGGCATGCTTCAGTTGTCCACATGGTACATATATATCATGGTTGTTTCCTAATACAGTGTCTTGTGTTGTAACTCCATTTGACAGTGACTTGTGCTCTGGTTTCCCTCGATTTGAATCTTTTGAAGTTAAAGCCAGGCCTTCAGAGGCATCATAATAGAAAATCTGAACATGACAAAGTCAGCCTGCTCTTTGAAAGTGACAGCACCTTTTATAACTCTAAAACTACAGCAGTCTCACTTACGTTAATTGAAATTGATCAGAATTACTTCCATGTTAGACTGATGGGTCAGATGCACTGACCAGTGTTGACCAGAAGAAAACATCAAACATCATTTTTAATTCCACTGAACATCTCACAGGTCCTAATTTGTTCAGACAGCAAACTCATTAGTATAGCAGATTTTCAGTCATTTTCTGTCACTTCAAAATGACCAGCAATAGACTGAGGTTAGGTGAGGGGAATTGAATGACTGTGAACCAGCAGCTGTCAGGCAGAACTGTCACTTTCTAATTTGTCAGTGTCACCCAACATGAATGGATCAGTTGCCTAATATTTCCAAATGGCAAACAGGCTGTCAGGTAAAACGAGCAGCTGTCCTTTCAGCTTTCTATTTTTCTGTGATGGTTAGACATCGTTCATTTTGAAATCGAGTCAAATTTGAGAAGTGTTCATAGTCATTAATAATAGGTCACCTAGTGTTTTGAATGGGCAATATTCAAACAATACTGAAGCTGTAGCACAATAATAAGTTTATTCTGCAAGAAATTATGTTCCTTAACAGAAACCGTGTCTGTTGTACATATTACATTATAATAGCAATAAGAATAGCAGTGAATAATTACAAGTCATTCATGTTTTGGTACTTAAGCAAATACCACATAATCAATTCTGGGTGGCATTGGAAGTTTTTAGTTTCTTTTAAATTATTTTCCTCAAGTTAATTGAAGTTTCCTCTCTTTTGTTATCGCTGTCTCTGTAATGTGACTTGTGAATGGTAATTCACAGTGATGGTAAAGTGAC